TGCTGGCTGTTCCCTTCCTCCAGCAGCTGGGCACAGCTGTCCCTGTCCCCCTGCTTCCCTTGGCTGAGGGGCAGCCCCTTTGCTTCCCAGGACAGCCTGCCAGCTGCAGGAAGGAGGGATGTGGTGCCCAGGCTGGAGCTGTTTGGGCAACAGTACTTCTGCTTCTGGGAGGCTGATGGGCTCAGAGGTCTTTCTCAGCTGCTCGACGCCAACGTTTTCCTGCCCTCTTCTGAAGCAAGAGGGGCGGAAAGCCCAAACACGCCAGCAGGAGCAGCCTGGCCTGCCCTCCTTGCTGGCCTGCAGCTCTGCTTTCCCACAAAGCGACTGCTCTGTTCCTGCTGCCCCCTCTGTCCCCTCATCCCCCTCTCCCGCTTCTTGTTTCCACAGCGCGAACTTTCAAAGGCTTCCAGGTCTGACAATAGCTCCCGCATCCTGAACTCCACCACCACCCACGCCTTCTGATGAGGCACTGCCTGCCAGGCTCCAGCTCCTCGTAGTCATAGTGAGTCGCTTCTCCAGCAGAACGTTGTGCAGCTCCCGACATGCCTGTGCGGTGGGGTAACTTTTACCTGGGTCCCAGGCGCTGCTCCAGCCAGCCTGGCCCTCTGGGGGGTGGGGTGGGTTCCTGCCTGCCGGGGTAGGGTGTGAAAGGGGCACTTTTAAAAACTTGCTTTTATTTGGGGAATTCTTACAGATGTTTGTGATTAAAGATTTGAGTATGCTGTCATGTTAGGGTAGCGCAGCAGTGGGTGCTGGCTCCTGCCACAGCCTGGCCGGCTGCGGTGGGCGTTGGTGCTCAGTCACGGGGGCTCTGCCCCCCTGAGCATGCTCTGGGACAGACGGGGCCTATTTGCTGAGAGCTGGCTCTAGTGCCTTCCGTCGCAGGCTTCCCCCCCGCCTCCACTTCTGTAGCTATTGTCCATCAGCATCTGCCTTTCTCACCATGACAGCAGCCTTGCTTTAGTGGGGGCTTTAGCTGCCGTTCCTGTAGCAGGCTTTGCTTGACCTGCGTGCTGGGCTTGCCCCTGCTGCCAGCTGGGCCCCGTGCTGAGGGTCTCCTTGGCTGGGGGTCCTAGGGAGGGAGCAGCAGGGCACTTCGCAGGAGGCAAGCCTGACCCGGCATCCTCCTGGAGCCCGATGGCCATACAGCTTGTACCCTGCCCTGTTCCCGAGCCACGGAGGGGCAGAGCCTGTAGCTGGGGGTGCCAGAGCACACGTTGCTAGCAAGGAAGCGAGCTACATGGGGGAAGGCCGCCTTCTATGACAGAAGAAGGACCTCTCCCTGCCCTCCAGCCCTGCCCTCCCTCGCCCTGCGCACTGGCAGAGGACAGCAAGCAGCATGCTTTGGTGGTACGACACAGCCCTGGGCACCGGAGCCTGCCTGCACCTTTGTTAACACAGCTCTGTGTTATGTGTCTGTCCCTGATCATGACTAATTTGCACCTTGTTATCACTACAGTCCCCCACTTGCTGTTATTTATTCTCCAGGTTCTGTCCCCTTGCTCTGTAACTCTGTATATACTGTTCATGGGAATAATACATATCTGTGTATATAGAGCTGCTGCTGTCTGTGTGTCTGGGGGGCAACCACAGGCTCCCCTGCTGCTGCCCTGCAGCTGGGGAGGGGAGGGGGCTCAGGCAGGGCTTTAAGCCGGGACTGACTCCAGAGGGGCTGGGGGGAGCTGGGAACGTCCTGGGCACAGAGCCTGAGGCACCACCACGGCTGTTTTAGAAAAGCAGATATAATAACGGGGCAGAGTCCTCCCCTGGGCTCTCTTAGCTCCAGCCCAGCTCCAGGGGCTGAGTTCAGTTCACTGTGGGCTAAACCCCCTCAGATCCTCTGATCCCCCTCGGTGGGCAGAGTGGGGCTGGGGCAGGTCCTGGGGGCAGGCAGGAGCAGAGCTGGCCTCGTCTTCCTCACCGCTGTGGGCCCTCATGGCTCCAGCACACAGACGTAGGTGGTCCAGGGCCCACACACCACCTCCTCCGCCTGCTGGCCCTCGGCCACCAGGTGCTCGACGCGGCGGGGCTGGTCAGAGCTGGCGTTGTCCCCGTGTCCCAGCTGCCCGTATTTACCTGCAGACACAACAGTCGTGCCACGATGGGGCCCTGGGGCCTCTGCCCTCACGGGGCGACAGCTCCCCAGTCGCTGGGGCGGGGAGGAAGGGTGAGAGCACCCTGTACAAACAGCTCCAGCCAGGACCCCGTGGCCGTGCTCTGCTGTGAAACCGCACCGATAAATCTCTGTGCACGTCACAGCGGCCAAGGGTAAGGGAGTAGAAAGCGAAAGCTGGGCCCACAGCGAAGGCATCACTTACCCCAGCCCCAGGTATAGAGCTCGCCGCCTCCTGCAAAGGGGACAGCACCCATCAGCCAGCGCCCGGCCTCTGCCCAGCCGGGTCCCTGTGAGCCCCCCCCATTCCCGAGCAGCACCAAAAGCTGCCCACTGCCCCACCGGCGAGAGCCGGGCACTCACGTGTGACGATGGCCGTGTGCCGGGACCCGCAGCTGACCTTGCTGACCTCCAGGTCCTGGGGCAGATCCAGCAACGCCGGGAATGCCTGGATGGAAATGAATGCGGCGTCCTCGGCAGCCGGCTGCTCCTGGCGGGACGTCAGCTCAGTGTCCCCTGGGAAGAGCCGACCCTCAGCTCCTGGCAGTGACCGGGCCCTGCCAGGCTCGAAAAGCACCAGCCCCGCACCGAGCCACCAGCGCTGCCTGCGGTGGCACAGGGCCCCAGCACCTTCACCTGCACCCGCGTCCTCATCCTGTGCCCGCTCTTCTGCCAGCGCTTTGGAGGGCAGGGCCAGCTGCCCCGACTCGTTCCAGCCCCACAAGTAGAGGTCTCCTGCCTCTGCGGGGAAGGGGGTGCATCAGGGTGGCCCCGGAGCAGCGCTCAGCCCCAAACCCCCGTCAGTGGCAGCAGCTGGGTGCTCCGGGGACACCAGCACCGACCACGCAGGGCACAGCGCTGTGCACCGGGCTGCCCCAGGACACGGGGTAACCCCGACATGGGGGACTGGTCCCGCCGGGGCCTTACGCTGCCATGACCCCCTCCACAGCCCCTCACCACTAATGCTGGCCGAATGCCACCCGCCAGCCGCCACCGCCTGCATCGGCACGCCGGCCAGCGCCTCCACCAGCCGTGGCTGCAGCTCCGACTCCAGGGTCCCGTGGCCGAGCTGCCCGTGCCTGCGGGGAGACACACATGGGCAGACAGACGTACAGACACCTCCTGCACCCCACTGCCCTCGCACCTCCCTGCCCTGCCATGAGCCTGCGTCCTGACCGAGCCCCCGCCTGCGCTGCGCCACCCACCCAGCCCCCGGCCCCCCAGGACCTCCCCCCACCAGGGCTGTGTCCCAAAGGTGCGGCAGAGCACAGGGCCCAGCCGGGGGAGGGGGGAGGGTGCCCCTGCACCCTGGTGCCAGGGCACGTGGGGGTCAGTGGCCCTGGTGCCCATCGGGCTGGGCGGGGGTTTGCAGCACCCAGTAATGCAGTCCAGTCAGTGGTGCTGGGCAACCCCTGTGCAACGGCGCGGCGACTGACACAACGCTGAATTAATTAATGTGTTTATGAGTTAGTCCATTGATCAGCTAACTGATTGCTGAGCTTGTTTGGGCCCTGCTGAGCCAGCAATCAACAGCGCGGTGTCAGCAAACGGTTTGGCCCCAAGCCCGAAAGCAAAAGTGGGGGATCCCACCAGGGGACAAGTTTGGGCTCATCGGGGGGGGTGGTGGCTGAGGTGTGCAAATCCCTCCCTGCATGGGCGAGCTCTGCCTCCGCCGGTGCTGCCAGCAGCACCCAGCACCCACGGCCCCGTGGCCACGGCCCGGGAGGTGATGGCACAGCGGGGAAGGCAGCTCCTGGCACCCTTGGGGCCGGCAGAGCCCGAGCTGCTGAGGGAAAATCCACAGCGGAGGGGAAGCGCTGACTCCAGAAACAGGGAAAGGCCGAAGGCCGGGGGGAGGGCGATGCCCAGCGCAGGGCGTCCCACTCACCAGCCCGGAACCCTGACAGCCCAGTTACAGACTGGGGGGGGGTTGGTGTTGAGCAAGTGGAACATGAAGCCCCAGTGGCTTTAATTGTCAAGGCTGTTGCCAAAGCCGAAAGCGCTGGAAGCGTCTGTGACAGCAAAATAAACAGCTCAGCCGCACATAGCGTGGCGTGGAGTCCTGGGGATCCTCACAGTGTTGGCACCGGGTGCCAAAACCAGTGCTACTGCGGTGACACGGGAAAGACTTATTTTCCTTCACAGGGCAAGGGCGACTATGTAAGGAAGTGGCTACGAAAGCCTGAGTGGGGCCAGCGCCAGGCTGGGCTACAGAACTGTAACAGTGCGGGACACGGGCTAGGGATGTGTTAGAGGACACTCAGCCTCATCGCAAAGCCAAAGCTTCACCATGGCATTTAGTTTAAAGAAAAAAAAAAAAAAAAAGTTGTTAATCCTAAGATACACACTCAGCAGTGCAGAAATGTTTCCTCTGAAGGGGACGCAAGGCGGGCACGACAACCTAGCGTCTGCAAAGGGAACTGCTGATGGATTTAAACTGAGCTTTGTGTTTGCTGTGGGACTGAGCTGGCCAAGACCCCAGCCACCCGTGAACAGAGAATGGAGAACAAAACGCTCCTGAGCTGATCAGAACCACGGCGGGAGGGCACGGGGCCGGGCCCCCCAGCTCTGCTCTGCTGACGGCCTCCGGCAGGTTTGTGCCTTTGTCTTCCACAGGCAGCAAAGAACGAGGCGCACGTAGCCCCCTCCGCCCTATGGCTATTAACGACAGTCACTGTGGTCAGGCCTGATCGCACACCCACGTCCCGACTCGGCACCCGTGGACGCCTGTCTGCGACACTGGGGATGTATGGCCGCATCCCGATGGAGTTACCGAGCAGGGGGGG